GAAAAAAAGCTTGATGGGGCCACAGTGGGAAAGATTGGAACTTTGGGAATGACAAAAAGGGTTCCGTGGGGTATGAAAATTAAATTTGTGAAGAAATCATGGGTCATTTATTATATGTCCCCACTCTAAATAAAAGTTTCTTTAATGATTCTAAAGGATGAAGAATTTAGCGAGAGAACATATGACCCACTCTTCTTGCTAAATTTGATTTCACATTCTGTCATGGAGTTGGCTATTGTTGACTTATTTAAGTTAAGAGTCAACTGTGACAATATATTTTGTCATCATGATGTTAAGGAAATAATATCTGCACATTAATTCTGTGATTTGTAGTTCGATAATTTTTATCTCATTTATTCACTAAATCTTTCCTTGTACCTAGCATGGGCAAGCTTAGCACTCTTGTATATATATTTGCTCTACCTAAATTCTATTCAATGTAAAAACAATTTACCTTAATTTGCTCATATTTTTTGAACAAGGATAACTTTTTACAAATATTCCTACCATACTATGAGAATGGAAAAAAGCAATTCTTCAAAAATCAAATATTAAATTTAGGATGATGTTTTTATTAAAAAAATAAGTGATTAATTACTTGATCTAGTCGTGTGAACATTAATTTACTCACATTGATACAATGGTATCAAAGCATGTCATCTTCTTAAGAGACCTATTATTATTTGACCCGCGTGACAGTATGACAAATTTAGAAAGTCATCTTTGGACTACATGTGTTAGCCCATGTGAAAAGTATCAAAGATCATGCTAGACTTGGAATAGGATTTGAACACATGAAGCAAGGTATGTTAAGAAAGAAAATCTCATATTAAAAATAAAAATCTTATATTAAAAAAAAATAAAATAAAAGACCTTATGTGTTAAATATGTGTATAATTACTTTATTTATTATCAATTAATTTTAAATTATATGTAAACTTTATATTGAAACTCTAATGTTTCATTTTCTTACATGACCCTCATTTTGCATGTTAGAATTTATTCAATGAAGTGAATCATATTAGAAATGTCGTTCAAAATCCTCAATTACTATTTAGATATACAAACAATTCCAACAGATTTCGCCTGTCACCTTCACATTGCATTACGTGTACTCCACTTAACAACTAAAGAAGTGTGTTGAAATCAAAATAAAATTGATCAAACCAAACCAACAAAAACACATTCTATTCAATGCGCATGCAGAAGCCAACCTCCCACCATTTTCCATTTCATGATCCCACCTTTCAATTTTTCTAACAACAATTGTTTCTTTTTCCAGTTTCATATGTGGAAAATTCACCATCCCCACCATTAAGTTTGCATGCCACTGTTTTAGACTCTGCTTCCGTCTAGACTCAGTCGTAGTTTGTTGTTGAGATTCCTCTTTTTTCAATTGAATCTTCTGTTTTCACATTGATTTCACACGGTTTTTCATTAGGTGAAAGAAAAGAAATGGGAATTTGTTGACTAAAATGGAACAGGAATGGTGAAAAGGATCTCTTGAGTCTAAGTGGGTATCCCATAACTAATGGAGGGTTACTAGAAAATCTATTTTATGATTGACAGGCATAGACCTTGGGGCAATGTCTTTATCTTTATGGAGTTCTTTATCCTTCTTTCAATTTTTCCTGCACTTACAGTTAACTAGTCATATAATGGCACCATTATTGGCTACTCTCAGAATTAGCTTTTTATCTTTGTCAATAGCGTAAAAATGTCCAGAGAAAAGTAGGTGGAATTCGAGGGGAACTTTTTTTAAAATTGTGTTTAGAACTGAAAACAGTGCGAGTTGAAGTAGCTTAGTATTTGAACTCAAACTAAATAGTCATTCATTGAGGTCAATGTCGATTCGTTATAATATAACATAATTTATAAATTTTTATTCTAATTGAGATGATATTTTTGAGTTTAATTAACATCATGTTCAAGTTGAACCAAACTCGAATTAAGTTGTGTTTACCATTTTCTATTTGATTAAGAACATATTTAATTTGAGAAAAATAAAAGTAAAAAAATTATTTTCTCTTAATTTGATTAAATAAGAATATATTACCTCTCCTCCACTCAATTTTTTCCAAATTAATTAAACAAACTCTAAATTTTGGATATAACCACCATGCCTCTTCTCATAGTAGTATGACTCGAATCAAATATTTCTACCATTAACTGCAGTGTCATCAATGTACATGCTAAACAGAAACACGGGCGAT